AAATTTTAAGGAAAATGTTATTTATTTTAAAATATTTGTGCAAGCGTGTGCATGTGTGTGTGTTATCTGAAAGTACTACAACTGGTTATAATGTTAAATAAGTCAAAACCACTAAGGTACACTTGGGATTTAACCAACTTCCCAGTTCAGTAGCATCAAAAGAAAAGACAATGTATGGGATTTTTATTAATTCTTAGACAAGAAAAAAAAGAAATTCCTATTAAACTATCTGAAGCAAACAGCTATAAGTAGAACCCATTCTATTTTCCTGACTTCCAGTACCTGCTCCCTCCCATTTTCCACTGTGGCCTCTGGGACACATGCATATCAGATTATAAACAAGGTCTCTACATCCTAAGTCTCTTCTGTCTCTACCTCTGCCTAAAAGATAACTTGACTCCTCACCCAGGAAACTGCTTCCCTGGCAGCTCTCAGAAGTCAAAGTTACTCATTCTCCCAGACTCCATACAACTGCCCTTTAGTAGCCAAATCCTGTCCCTACTTTGAAGCTCAGAACTAGGAACAATATCACTACCCCATCATCTATCCATCCAACAAGTATGTACTTAGTGTCTGCCATGTGCCAGGCACCTTGTTAGCTGTAGGCTATAGAACAGTAAATCCTCATGAAGGTTAAAATCTAGTAAGACAAATATGAAACATAATTATGCAAATCATTGTCAATTATGAAAGAAAAGAATAAGAAGGTATATGAGAGAATCCGTAGGATTTGGTCAGGCCAAGAGTGACAGCATTTAAGGATGAGAAGGAAAGAACTCAGTTTTCAAGGAAACTGTACAACTGGGCAAATGGGTAAGGGGAGTGGTCTGAGGGGTTGAGGAGAGGGGTCTCAAAGGTGACGTTACGGATTTTGGATTTTATTCTAAATGCAACCAGAAACTTGACTCCTTACCAGAGTCCTGACTCATCTGCTCACATTTAACCGGGTTAGTTGCTCATCCTTCTGCTCTATTCCAAAGCTCTCCCCATCCCAGATAGCTTCACATCCAAGACTTCTCAGCTTAACACCCTGGACTCCAGTGACCGCCCCCCCCAAGCTCCTCCTCAATCAGGCTTCTCTCCACTTTCTCCTTGTCCCAAATTAGTCCACCTCTGAAAATCAAATTCCAGGATTCAATGTCAGACCATAACCTCTTATCAAGTCTACTTTTCTTCCACTCTATACCTATCATGCCTGTCTGTTTAAAGTTTTTAAAATCTGATTAGAAAAAAAATTGAAATATAAGCTCATCAGAATAAGTGAAAAGTTATTACTATTTCCTCCAACCCTATCAAGGCATGTAGGCTTTTCTACACCTTCCTCCATGCTCATACCAACATATGTGAACTGTCTCTACATATGTGTATATAAATGCTTGTTTTGATTATGAAAAGTTAATCATATCCAATACAAAACTCCGAGAGTTATTTTACCATAAAAATAAAAATCATGAACAAATCTCTGATACAGGCTGAATTCCTTCTTTAAAGTGCTGCATATTGTTCCTGGTAGAGACACTGCCCGTGGTTCCCTTCTGAAGGGAACTTCACTCATTGTTTCTACAACAAACTTGCTGATCCCAGAAAACCTTGAAGCAGACTCTTCAGTGGAGTGATGTGCTTCCAATATTGGTAGCTGGGAAAGCACTGATGCTTGTGACTGGAAAAGTCTGGGAGCAGAATGGTTTCTCACAGCACTGCATTGCCGGGTAAGAGGTTTCAGGCCATGAGAATTGAAGCCATGGTGCCTTTCACCACTTAGCTTCCTACTGCCCCAAAAATATGCAAGGCAGGCTGCTGGCAAGTACTGAGGGAACCACAACCATGAGTAGGCAAGGAAAATTAAAACTCACTCACAGCGCTCTGAAAGAAAGATGGCCAACAGAACAGAAACAGGAGATGCCTACTGAAGTAGAACCAATGGAAGAAACAAGAGAATTTTAATGAAAATAGAATGGAATTACAGTGCAAAATACAAAAAAACTCCCAACATTTTTAGGAACTAAAATTCAAGACTTCTTATTTAGAAATTCAGTATCCAACAAAAAAGAGAATGACTGCCCCTGAGAACCATATAAGCGGTTAGAAACATCAGATGGAAGAAATGCCTCACAAGAAGTCCTGTAACAGATAGCCTGAGGGAAAAGGCAAGTGGTGTGGAGGTCAGATCCAGCAGACAAAATTAGGAAGAGGGGAGGAATATGTAGAGATGTAATAATCACATAAAAAATGGAAGGAAACATTTAGAACTTGAGTCATGAGACCCTGAATATCAAGGATAAACAGAAAACCCTGCCAGCCTATTAGTACTGTGGGAACAAGGGCTTTCTTTCCCCGTCTGGGATGATGGGAAGCTGGAAGCAGACACTACTTGGGGACTCCAGGGGACTGACTGTGAGCCTCCCTGACACCAAGTTTGGTTCACATGCCAGAAAATCCCAATGTCTGTGCTTAATGCTTCACATGGAAACCTTAAGCATGGAGATTGCTGAAGTTCTCGTTCTGGTAAATTTCCTTTGTTATTCTGTGTCATTACATCCAAGTATCAACCTTAGGGTCTTTTCCTTCCATAGTCCAGCCAAAATATGGTGGGGACCAACTTTTAAATACCATATGCACAAATTTCTTTGATAAAATTAAAAATGTTTAAAAGAGAAAATATTCATAGATGAAGTAATGCATGACTGTTACAAGAAACGATTACCTTTATTTATGAAATATACATGAAGATTGTATAGTCATAGCTGAGAGAAGAGATTCTGGATACCTGCTACTTACTAGCTGTGTGACCTTGAAGTGAGTTACTTTTCTGTGTTTTGGTTTCCTGAAAAGTAAATGTAATTAATAGCATCTATCTCATTAGACAAAGGGTAAATGAATTAATACATATACCAGAGTCAGAACTCTGGCATAGACTCAGTCCAGTTCAGTTCAGTCCCTCAGTAGTGTCCGACTCTTTGCGACCCCATGAATCGCAGCATGTCAGGCCTCCCTGTCCATCACCAACTCCTGGAGTCTACTCAAACCCATGTCCATCGAGTCGGTGATGCCACCCAGCCATCTCATCCTCTGTCATCCCCTTCTCCTTCTGCCCCCAATCCCTCCCAGCATAAGAGTCTTTTCCAATGAGTCAACTCTTTGCATGAGGTGGCCAAAGTACTGGAGTTTCAGCTTCAGCATCAGTCCTTCCAATGAACACCCACAGACTAGTGCTCAATAAATAATAGCAATGCTGCCACTGGGCTAATGCTGCTGTCACTGCTTACAACAGGAAAAAAGTATTGTACAGAGATTTTGGAGTCAGAAGACTCGAGTTCAAATACAAACTTTAAAACTCAAAAAGAGTTTTATACCACAGCCACAAGAGTAATCCCTCTTATACTCTTCATATTTAAAACAGGAATATGAATACCTCCTTTTAACATCCATCTATCTACCTATCCACAAACATCAAGTAAGTGTCTATATACCAGGTCTTGTGTTGTAGCTGAAATAGAAACATCAATAAGATACAGTTCTGTTCTTAAAGAGTTCACAGTCTAGTGGAAAATATTCAAGAACCTTAGTTTTCTTTCTTGAGAGTATTTTTTTTTCCTTTCATGAGAATATTTCTTAAGGCTGCCTTTGCTTAAGGAGATGAAGAAAGAACGACAAGGTTCAAGCATGTAACACAAGTACTCTGATTTAAAATTAAAAGGCAACACTAATATTGTTAGCAATTGTTAGGCCAAAAATGTGGCCAGTTTCTGAAATTACTGTATTTTTGAAAAATACCATGAAGCAATTGGGTCACTGGGAAGTATGCCCCTGCGGATGATATGGCAGTCTTAGGAGTGAGGGGACCACAGAAAAGCAGGCCCTCATTTCTGGTCAGAGAAGTAAATAAAACATCTTGGAGGGACTGAGTTCAGTTCATAGGATTGACTGTGTAGTACACAACTTGCTACTTTGAATGATCTTTTGAGACCTGGGTATCCTTTGAATAAACAGCTCTCAAGTCATTCTCTGAGAGGAGTCACTATTACTTGATTCTTTGTCAATGATATCCGACCCCTTGTAGAGTATCCTGACTTGACGCATAGGGTAGGAGATTACAGAGAACATGTTCTTGGTGTCTCTTCTACTCCATCCCAATAACAAAGATCTCACTCTAAAGCTTCCTGGTATTAAGAGTGTTTATTTTGATCATCCCATGTGAGTTGGCCATGGGAAGGGGTAGGAAAAGTCAGTCCTCTTTAATCTCTCAGTGAACTCAGGGGTTTCAGAATGTCTACACTAATAATCTCAATCACTAACATAAGATGAACAAAAAAAGACTATAAATTCACAGGAGAGACTAAAGACCTATTCTTTATAAAGGAACAATGCATGCCAACGTGTTTTCATCTGTCGCTGTCAGTTGACATTTAATAAAGCCATGACTTAAAATTCTATATTTAAAACTTCACAGAAATTATAATGGCATTTTAGCATATATTTGAAACAACATTAAGTACACTGAGACATTTGGAAACTTTAGAAAGTATGCAAATATATCATTATTAAAAATAATATTCAAAGTATTTTATTTTATTATATTAATATATACACATATAGGACTATAATGTAAAACAATTACATACATTATTTAAAATCATGTATTTGGCTCATAATAGGCCAAAGTTTGTTACAAATTCATTTGAATGGTGGCTAGAGCCACAAAGAATGATTCTAGCTTCTTTTCTGTGTATAAAATATTCTAGAAACCAAAATAAATTAAATAGATATTAATCCAGAGTTAAGTGAAGACTATCCAGCAAAAAAGGAATACTAACATGTATCTTGTTTTAAAATTTCAATTGGATAATAAATTATGTTTCAAAAATCTTTACATAAAAGCCTAATAGCACCACTCATAAATCATAAAGTATAGCAATAGATAACATATTTATTTAATTTTTACCTAATTACATTTTACTCATAGTAAAAATCTATTGTTTATAGAAAGTAAAGCCAAAAATTTATCCAAACATTGTTACATAAGAGGTTTTAAGAAACTGTAAATAATTCTTAATACTCTCATTTTGATTCTCTGACTTTTCAAGACTATGTTGTATTTCTTTCAAACATACTTCCTGATGTTGTGCTTTCTAAATAAAAAAAAATAAAAATAGTTAATAATTACATTAATATCAAAGGACAATCATAATATAAAAATTTATATACACAATAATTGAATACATGGTTTTTAAGTTTTTAAAAGAAAAAATCTTAGAGCTTACTTTTCTTTAAAATCTAGATTAGAGCACATACATGGTTGATCTCTCTGTGATAGTTTGTTGTAATACACACTCACTTAGCCCCAAATTATATATATTTAATATGATTAACTTAAATAGATTTTACTTAAAACTGTCACAATTTCTATTACATTTAACATGGCATATTTTAATACTAGTTTTTGTCATATTCTTTGCTTAAAAGGCTGACTACTTTTGCTATCTTAAAAACTGACAGAATTCTAGTTTTGCTAATATGAACATTTTATTTTTAGAATCTTTTAAAAACAAAATGAACTCAATATCATATGTGGTCTTTGAGGCAGACATTTAAAATGTAATATATTTTTAAAATATTCAGTTGTGTGTAAATTCCCAAATAGATCTGTTCACTGAAACTATTTTACATAGACAGGCTACAAAAATCACCTAGCTTGCAGGAACCATGAGAGGAAAAATCCTTTATATCCTTCTGACCAGGTGTTCAGTGACACCAAACACCTTCTGAAACGGAGCAGTGCCCCCAAGGAAAGTGTAGTGGGTGGTATAAAACAACTCACTAGGCTGCAGTCTACAAAGGCATAGAATGACTATAATGGATCTTTGAGAAACATTGATTTTACTCAACAACTCGGAGGGAAAAATATTAATACAAATACACATATTATAAGGTAGAATGCAAAATGTACATAGATTTTAGTATAATATATAAGTATATAACATATTCCAAAGACATTTCAGGCTTCTTGATCTAGAGTAGGCCGCTGAGGCTCACCCTTGGGTCTGGGTATCTGTTCCACCCACCCTCTCCCTCTGAAGCACTGGGCAGAAAACCTGTAGGAGCCTGCTACTGTGGGGCGGGCACTATGGAAGACAGCAGCATACAATTAACTATGAGACAGCCTCTCAGGGTGCTTACAATTCAGATGGAGCTAAGGTATGTATACAAAACAAATATCTGAAACTGCCAACTGAACTGCTCTCGGGAAGGGACAGAAATAAACCCATTTTTCAGCAATGTCTAAATCCAGGGTCAGAATTCTAAATTTTTACTACTGTAAAAATCATCAAGCTTAACAAAACACCAGATCTTAAATTTACTTATTTTAGCAGCTTTAACCAAGTACTGGGAATATTATAACACACATACCTCATTTTAATATACTTATTTTTTAGAAGTTTCAATTACACACAGAATATTGCACATTTTATAATATAACAGAAACTGTGACTTAAAAAAATTGTGAAATAAAGTGAAGGCCTGTGCTAAACTAAAGATGAGAAATGTTTTGTTCTGATTAAATTGCCATGACACTTTTGATGCTAATAAAATTAATAATGATGGCTAAAATATTTAACTTTTGAACCTTTCATGTTTTCAATGGTTTACATGTTTGGGAATGAAAAAATAGTTATCATAGAGTCTGGCTCCTGGAAAAAATAAAAGTACTATTATTTCCTATGTCACTGTTAAGTAGATAGTTTTCAACTAAGTCAATCACAACTTGTGCTAGCTTTCATAGTATATTACACCAACTATTTCATGAATAGTTAGGAGAAAACATTAGAAGACTAACTAAACACAGCCAATTTGGTATTCTCATTTTATGACTGAGTAGACCCAAGCATCCACCTCACATGCAGATATAACTAAACATCTAAATCATCAACTTGTAACTTCCTAAAATATAATATTCATCATTTAATACTATCAAAATCTAATCATAGTGTTTATCTTAAAAATGAAAAATTCATAATAGAAAGAAAACAAGTAAATGATATCTGTAACTTTCATTAAGCATCTGTCATGTAAAAATAATACACAGAGAAAGGGTCTGATGAGGCTTTGGGGGAAATGTAATAGAAGCTACCAAGGATGCAGGATAATAATTCTTTGGCCAAATGCTGACATTTTTATTTTTATGATTTATATTATTTGCTATTTTTAGTACTATCAGTAAAGTAATAGCCTTGATTCCCTTCACTTTAACTGTTTAACTAAAACTCCATGGTAAGAATGTTAAATGCTAACTTATTTTTAATGAAAATACATTAAGCCATACTAATACTTACACTGTTCATTTTGCAAACAAGTTGATTTTGTTCTTCATTTTTCTTTCTAAGCTCATTTTCCAGATCTACTATTTTGACTTGTAAAGCCCTTTCTCTAGATGACATTTTCTCTATTTCTTCAGAAACCTATAATTTTAATTGAAAGAGTAAAAGAGCTAAATGTGCTTTAAGATATAATTTAAAGCTTTGACATAATTATACGGTATCTCTTCTTTCCAAATAGATATTATTTAGAAATTAGACAACTTAACTAGAAAGTGTTTAAAGGTGTTCTATCTTGAGAAACACATATAGCATAAGCATGCATTCTCCTGTTTGGTATGGAAGTATCTGAAAAAGTAGCCTCAAGTGGAAGAGGTGTATATATTACCACAGATGTGACGTAGGCAGGTTTTCCCCAATACTGTATTTCCACAACCTGCTGATATTAACTGCCATGTTTTTACAGTATTTATATTTATCATGGCATCCAAAGTGGTGGTGGGACATAGAAAGTTCACAATCAATGCTGATTATAAACTTGGATGGAGAGAATTGGGGGCAGGGTAGATGATATTCACACCACACACCACATACACACACACACACACACACACACACAAGATTGGTTTTTCATTCATTCACTTCCAAAATGGTCTGAATTTGAGTTTTCGTATTTCTCTGATGGTTTATTTCAGCAGAAAGTCTAGCTTAGCAATGTTGTCCAAGGATTCAGATACATGGGAAGCTATTTGCAGGAAAGGTGGGCTGGAACCACAAGAATGAAAGTGGAGGCAGAGACTAGTTCAGGAGCAAGGAGCTAGTAGGAAGGACTGTCCTCTAACCTAACTCCCACAGACTAAATTCTAAGTTATATATACAGTTATTTACAAAGATTTCTTGTGCACAAATTCCAAGGGTGATTGTGAGAGAAGAATTCTAACAGGATTTGAAGCTTTGGGAGAAAGAGCCCCCAGGACAAGTATCTGTGTCCTTTACAATGTCCTGCAGTGTGGACAGCAGTGACAGGGCAGTGATGGCACTCTTCATGTGGCAGGTGGAGACAGCTCCATATTTCACTGCAGCAGGAGAGAAAGGAGCGGGCAGAAACATCTCTGAGGACTCTGAATACTTCTGAGAAGGAATCTGAGAGCATCCAGCATTTCCAAGGTTCATTTAGTCTGAACCCAGGCTCAAGTCACTTCTCCTCCCACAGGTTGGGACTGAGAAACCTGGATTACATTTCTATCATTGGCAGTACATTTTACTACTCAGCTTTCATTCAATGATATGTCTTTCAAAGTCAACTTAAAGAGCTTTCCCAGAAGTTAAAAAAAATAAAAGTATGTCTATGTGACACTTAAGATTTCAAGGGTATCAGAAGTTCTCTCACTCTTGTGGAATTGCCTTTAACAGGCTTGCGAAAGACCACAAGTAGAAGAGTTCAGAGAGACATTTAAAGTCTGGTGTTGGACATGTTAAGTCTGAGTTGCCTAAAAATGTTAACAGGAGATAAATAGCAGAGCATACGAATTTAGATGTCAAGAAAGAGAGAAGTCTGTGGCAGAGATATACTTCTGAGTCATCAGGGTATAGACAATCTCTTTCCAGTGTCATTCAATCCTATGAGGAAGCTCATCATCCCCATTTTATCAATTAAGAAACTAAAGTTTGGAAAGTAGCTTGCCCTGGGTTGGGATATAATGTGTCAGGGCCAGAATTCAAATCCACCTCTTGTGAATTCCAAAGCCCACCTCATGTCTTTCAAGATTACATTTTCAAATCATTTGATAAATTTACCTCTTCTTTGAGATCTTCCTGAATCATTTCTCCTCATCTCCAGATTGAACTAACCCACCTGGCAGTGTCCCTTGTGTCTTCCCTACATTGTACTTCCCTACTTGCTGGGTGATACTGTCTGTTCACATGTTGTTTCCCTACTGAACTGTGAGTGTCCTGAGAGCTGAGGCCAGTTCTTACTCATCTTTGCATCAGAAGCACTAACAGAATGCTTCTCAACAGACAGTGAGATATTTATTAAATGCTAATCACACAGATTTAACTGGAAATTAATTCTTGTCCATATTTATTTTTATAACATTTGCCAAAGAGGAGTTAAGCTTTATAGCTCACTGAATCTCAATCAAAACCAAAAGGTTCAGTAACTTGCATATCTGCTCTGGTTTCATTAAAAAAAAGAAGAAGGGCGAGTCCTATAAAGTGTTTTCCATTCCTGCCCTTTACCCTGCCACATCATCATTTATTTAGTGAAGAACTTTGGACCAGTAATGTATCTGTTTAGCTCCAAAAGGGAAAAGTAGATAAAAAACAAAAATGTAATTGCTCCCTTTACCCTGTCATCAGGATAAAAACAATAACTGTAGGTTTGGCAAGATGAGATATCGTCTGTTTAAAAAGATGACTCTTTGGTAATCTAATTAAAACGTTTCTAAATAAAGGCCATCTGTACCTTTTGTCTTCCTTCTTCTAAAGCAGCTTCCAGCTGTCTGGCCAGTGCTGTATATTCTGCAGATTTCTCTTTAAACTTAAGATTGCTGTGCTTAAGACATTCTTCTTGGTTTGCCAGCTTCTTTTCAAGCTCTTTATTTTCCGCATCCATCTGTTCTAATTTTCTTTTTACAGAAGACATATATTTTTAAATTACAGTGTGTAGAAAAAAAATGTAATACCAACTTTAAATCAATTTAATACTTACTGTTTAAGGTTTTCACACTTTAACTGAATAAGACAATTTTCTTCTTCCAGGGAAAGCTTTGTCAGAAGATTATAATTTTCATCAACCTAAAAGAGAAAAAAGTTTTCTTGGTTATTTTCTTTATAAGTGACTTCCAGAGAAATCTACATAGTTTATTGCTAGAACAATTACAAAAGAGAAGATGGTATAAATATTATTACCCCTACAGAGAGAAACACCAAGAAATATTACATTGTTAAGAAACAAATTCTTAAATTCCTGGATATTTTTAAAAAACTATTGCTGCCTCATGGAAAATTATCTACTAAAATTGTTACTAAAAGATGGCAATTAAAACATTCTGAGTAATGTTTAATTAAACATGTATATTATCTAGGGTGAAACAGATCACCAGCCCAGGTTGGGTGCATGAGACAAGTGCTCGGGCCTGGTGCACTGCGAAGACCCAGAGGGATCGGGTGGAGAGGGAGGTGGGAGGGGGGACCGGGATGGGGAATACATGTAAATCCATGGCTAATTCATTTCAATGTATGACAAAAACCACTGCAATGATGTAAAGTAATTAGCCTCCAACTAATAAAAATAAATGGAAAAAAAAAAAATAACATGTATTTTGTTAAGTAAATGTGAAGATTTTAAACAGTAACCTCCTATTGTTGGATACTTAGGATTACTCTTACACAGTTTTCTGATTCACCTACAGGCAGTGATTAATAATTGAATATCTGTCAAGTTGTAACTACTGAATAAAAACCATATTTGTGAGAAGCAAAACAAAACAGATGAGCAAATCAACCAAATATACACTTGCCTACACCAAAACAGAATATTCTTCCCACTGCTTTAAAAGCTATGCTTAAATAATGCAGTTTTGAAAAAAAATTTTTTTCTCATATTTCAGTTAGTGTGATTTGACATTTTCCTAGAAAAATCTCTTCTCAGGAGATAAACTCAGCAAAGTTTTGTTTGGGTTCTTTTAAAGAGATGATTTTCAATATTAAATCCAGATTAATTTGGAAGATAGGGAATTCTTCCTAAAATTATTTTGCAAATAAAAAGATGAGCCACCACCTTAGGACATGCTTCTTTGAAAAAAAAGATTAAAAAATATTTATTAAGTGTTTACTATGTGTTAGGCATTTAGTTAAGAGATGGCTATATGGAACCTACTGATCTCTCTCTTCTGATGCAGTGAAAAAGTATATGTTTAAAAAAATAATTGAGAATAATCCAAATAAATTTGCACATAATTCTAACAGAAATAAATTCTAATTTTTATAAGGTAAATTACAATAATTTATCTTATCTTGACATCAAAAATATACATGTAAGCATAGCTTTGCTCCTTCTCTCATGCTATTACTGTCCTCAAATGTTTAATATAGATTTGTATGAATAAACTAAATTAGCAATTTAACTACCATTTCTCATGATAAAATACTAACAAGAATAGCTTACAAAATAATCACAGTATTCACAAGAAACTGACACTTTATCAACTTATTTAGATAAGAGTAAAATAATCAACCCCTGACAGGAGTGCCCTCAACTGGCGAAATTATTCCAAAGCATTTAACACGTCTAACGAAAATCAAAATGATGGCTGGACACCTGGCCCTGAAGCTCCCTAACGGTGTGTGCCTGGTCTGCACACTTCCCCTTGTGGTGCTGCAGGCTCTCCTGACACTCCTGAAGCCTCTGTTCCACCGCCGTCAAGGAATCGCGGACTCGTTCTAACTCCTTCAGATGAGACTCCATCTGGCCTCTCATCTGAGTTGTAGCATTAGGGAAATAAGTGCAAGATCACACATTCAGCATTCATGTTTTTACTATCTTAAATACTAGATATGCCTGTAATATAATAAATATTTTAGGTATAAGAGCTTATAAAAAGAGATTTAACCAAATAAATAAGAATAAACTTCAAGTTCAACTGTGCTAAATAAGAATGAAAAGTGAAACTTTCTCAGTCATATCTGACTTTTTATGACCCCATGGACTGCCGCCAGGCTCCTCTGTCCATGGAATTCTCCAGGAACATTCTGCCAATCCCTTCCCCAGGGGCTCTTCCCGACCCAGGGATCGAACCTGTACTTCCTGCATGACAGGTTAATTCTTTACCATCTGAGCCACCAGGGAAGTCCACCCATTAAATAAGAACATAAGAATATAGAACACAAAAGTATGTTGGACTTTAGCGTACAAAAAGTTTGTTGAGTAAATGAATATGGTGATATTAGCTTGCAGGGCGAATGTTTAAATTACTTAGGAAAGTAAACTTTTGACTCCGTCCTGTCATTTATATGCAAGCACAGACATTATAAGAAAGCTGGTACAGTAGTCTTCTGCTGTCCAGCCATCAGCCCGAAGTAATTTTAAACTTTTTTCCAAAATTTGATCTAGTAACTCAGATATTTTGAATAGAGCAGCCTTGCTGCACTCAGCTTAGTCGGAATTAGTGAAGTTTGCTGTATGTAAGTTCAAAATACCTAATATCAGTAGTATTCAGGAGACTATAATTTGATCATTAATGTTACTATGTCACTAAGAACAAATCTAATTGTACCTATATTATATCTGGGCTGCTACAATTCCTGTGGCGGCACTTTTGTAGAGATGCGACAAGAAGCAACCATAAAAATTGCTTGAACTGATAATTAAGAGAAAATAACAAGACATAGGGCACCAAGAATGTTCATAGGGAAGAAAAACAAAAGCTAGACTTTTCCCCAAGACAGGCAATACCAAGAGCTACTATGCAACACAGGGCTTCTGGATCACAAATGATAAAATTAGAAAAATGCCTGCCTCTGGGTCCCCAAACAACTAAGAGCTCATGAGAAAGACAAGAGACTTAAAACAGTGGACAAGAAAAAGGAAGCATTTCACTTAAAAAAAAAAAAAAACAGCTTATCTGGTTTAACACCAGTAAGAAAACACTGTGACCTCACAGTATCTGAAAACCCTGCACAGGCTCCAGCCTCTTCAGCCTTTTGAACAGGTTTTCTAAAATAGACTTTTATTTATAGTGTTGCCTATAAAAGAGGAGGCATTTGCATTGGTATATCTCATGAGAAAAAGTAATCAAGAGGTATGAAATGATTTCTTCTCTGGTCTGCTAAAAATAGGTGAAAAGTAGTAAGTTGCATATCTGATGGCCTACCTTTCTCTCTTTTAACCAGCAGAATGCCTGCTCTGACTGACTGCTTCTTCACACTGGTGTCTTACTCAGACTTCTCAATTCCAAGATGTGGGGACAACCCAGAGACAGTCACCTTAGTACACTCAGTTGGAACTAACCAGTAACATCCCATGACCTCCCCAGCCGGGAGTCAGGGGTGTCGGCGTCCTACAAGTTTCACTGCTTCCTTACCAAAAGCAATGTGAGAAGACCCAAAAAGGATGCGGCTTCATTTAAAAACTTAAAAATAGTCACAAAAACATCATAACTTGCCAACACTGACCTTCCCCTCATTCTTTCGCAATAGGGTGAAAAAAAAAAGGAAATGATTCTGGGTTCTTTTTTTTTTTATGTTACTTTTCTTCCAAAAAAGCATTTAGAAGAGAATATTTACTTTGTTTTTTTACACAAAAGATTTAGTATCAGAATAAAAAAGGTGAGATTAAAAATGAAAGTCAACTTTGCATGAAGCTCAATGATAACCACTTTTCGATGCTACTTAAGTCTTCTCTTGTATCAGAAAAATTAAACATTTATGTTATTTTTTAAATATTTAGGAAAAATTTAAAAAATATATTATCACATTTCAGATGAAGAAATATTACTTCCTTAGACAACAAATTGCCACAGAAATCAAAAACAGATAATTCCTAACTCTAAACTAAAGAAAATTAAAGAATTTATATAAAATTTATATAAAAGAATTCATATAAAATTCATACAGTACAAAACATAAATAAAATATTTTATTATTTAACATGTCAAGCTAACCTTTTTTAATTTTTTATTTTTGTTTTTTGTTATTAGGCTATTTTCTTGAAGCAAATTTTTGCACCTGCTTTTTACCATTTCAGCTGCTTCTTGCACCTTTTGTATCTGAAAATAAAAAATATTATTATAGTAATATGCATTATTTTCTTATTAGAACCATTATATGAAATAAAAAGCTAAAAATGTGAATTTAAATTTTTAAATTTCAATTTTAAACCCATTATCATTACCCTATTAGCACCGTCAGTATGTTTATCTAATGTTATTCCTTCTTTAAATACATGAATCACTCAGTGCTCTACTCTAATCCACAGTCTTTTTGTGATTTACCTGTCTTCTCCCATAATATTTCTAGAATCTTCACCTGAGCTCTGAATATTAGAGAGAAACCTTCATTAGCAGGTCAATGTCACTTTAAAGAATTGGTCTCTGGTCCAAACTAGCTCCCAAAGCAACTACACTTCACTCTACTAAGCAAAATATGTTAAAAAAAAAAAAAACCTAAGCACTTTATACAAGACCCAGAGCCAAGAATATACTCATCCACAGTATTCTTGATGGAGGGTTGAATCAGAACCACCAGCTGGAAGACCCAGATGATATTTCCAGTGAGGCATCACACAGTCCATCACAGCCTCCACTCCTACCTCCAGCAAGGATAACTGGAATATTCTAACTAAATTTTAGTCTCAATTCCAGTTTCCCATCTAAACCATGGGAATGGAGTCCTTCCTACTTACCTAAATTATTTCCCTCCTTCAGCTTTAACCTTTAGTTCATTATCCTTCAATTTAAACACTCTCTTTCAAGAAAATAAAATCCTTATTGACCAATTTGTTACCCATCATTCAAGGACCTGCATATGTCCCATCTTTCAAATGAAGTTTTTCTTAAATACTGTATTTCTAAATCATAAGCTTTTCTCTAAATTACCAATTAACATATGCTCTATTGAATACATATGTTCTTTTCCAGGTCTTTCATGAGAATAAATCTAAATTATACTTTATTAAGATGCAAAGAGGAAATATTGTGCTTTAATGACCCTTAAATGGAGTCATTACTCTAAATCAATACCATTAAAAATAGAAGATGACAAATATAACTAAAATTAACAAGATTACTCTAAGTTCCATTACACCTATGCAATTAATTTTAGTTCACTTTTAGGAATATCCAATATAAACACAGCACATTTGAATTAGGACTAAGAAGAATCATTTTATGAATTTGTGACCTTAAGAAATATTTTGAGATAAATCATATTTTAACACAATAACTCCATCTTTCCTCAGTTCTGCTTTTTTAAACCATAAACAAATACAATGTTTAAATTATCTACCAAATTTAACAAACATTAAAATAAATGCAATGGTCACCTGAGTTTTATAAACTTCAATAAGGGTTTTCTGTTGTTTTTCTACTTCTTGCAATTCTAAGAGTTCATTTTCAACAGAGGCAACCTCATCCTTCAAAGCAGCAAGTGTAGTCTATTAAGGAATATATAAATAGATTTTATAAATCATTAGAATTCATTTGTACTTCAATACATTAAAAATTAACTCATTTATCAACAAACCTAATAAAATTAGCTTATTTCTGACTGCATGAGATTACCATTAAAATTAAGAATTTCAAAAAGTAATTTATTAAAAACATATTTTTACACTTTAAAAATTTATTGACCTAAAAGACTTGAACAATAGAAAGACCACATTCCTGGAAGGGGAGACTCAATACTATTGACATATCAGTTTTTTACAAATCAATACAACTTTATTATAATTACAACCAAAACAGTTGAGGGGAAGAGGAATATGAGAAAATTAATTTAAAATTCATATGGAAAAATAGAAGAGACTAATAACAATTTTAAAGGATACTAAGAGAATCTCAGTACTTATTAGATATTAAAATGTATTCTGTTGTTCAGTCGCCAAGTCCTGTCTGACTCAGCGACCCCTCTCTATATAATACAGAAGTCTATGGAATAGAAAAAAAATATATTAAGATTATATTTATTATATGACAAAGATTGAATTTTTAAATAAACAGGGAAAATATGGATCACTATAATGGTAATAAGACAATCATTCATTAGGAAAAAACAGGTTAACAACATACCTTCAGCAAACATGATTTTTACATTGGTCAATTATACATTTATTTTAATGTGTTAAATATTAAAAAAAAATTAAGCTTACACTTTTTTTCACAGAAGATTCAGGTAAAATTTGATTTAATTTTAGAATAGTAAAAACCTAACTAAGCATAAAATCAAAAAATGATATCAAGAACTGTAAGAGTCTGAAATTTTTACCCTCCAAGACTACCAGTTAGCCTAGCATAGTCTCATGGTTACTAGCAGAAGACACAAGACTCCTGGGTGAGTCTTATATCAGCGTTTGTGTTAGTTTCCTAAGCCTCACTTCCTCCAAAGCAATACCAAGAGGGCCAATGACACCTGTATACACAGTGAGACGTATAGAGAAGCAACTCCAAATTTAGGGAACCCAAATCTCTTATAACAGGCAGTAAGCATGCCTTTTGGTAGAAGGAAACACTACTATCTTCCAAGGATATTCACTATACAAACATCCTTGAAAAGATAAGTCTGTTTCTCGATCATAGTCAGTACATTGCTCCCAAGATATGCAGAAATGTGAGAGACTAACAAAGGAAGCCATAAAGGAAAAAAAAATATATATATATATATACACATTATACACACACACGCACATACACATACATAGGTTCATGTGTATTGCCAAAATTTCAGAGCCCTCAAAGTATTAAACAGACTAACAAAATGTGCAACAAAGTGAAGGATTATGACAAAAGATTAATACCCTTAATATAGAGAGCCCTTATATAATAATTTTTAAAAAAAGATATGTAAAGGATAATTAGTAGGTAATTCCAAAAGGCAGAAATGTAAATGATGAAAAATACATGAAAAAATATGCTTACTAGTTATTACAAAATGCCCTAAGCACTGGTTATAGTCTTTCAGTAGTGAACATAAAGAGCAAAAACCCCTTCCATCATGAGCTTAATGTACCCCATGTACAGACAGACAAAAACAAGGAGTATATAGACAAAGAAAACAAGAACAAGATGTAAGATATATCATACATGATAGCAAGATAGTAAGGACAAGTTGAGAATGGGCCACCAGGAAGGCCTCCTGAAAAAGACTCTGGAGTAAACACCAAAAGGATGTGTTGCTTTGAGGAAAGAGGCCATAGTGGGAGAAAACCTGGTCAGTTAGAGGAAAACAGAAAGAAGGCCAATGTAGCAGAAAGCAAGAAAAAGGGAAGTGTGGAAGAAGATAAGGTCAGAGAGGTAATGTCAGAGGTCAGATAGTATAATGCCTTGTAGAGGTTTACTGCATTAACCAAGAGCAGTGGCATGGTCTGAAGACGACTTCCATTTTTATAGGAACTACTCTACTACTACACTGAATGCTGACTGCAGGGGCAACGGCAGAAGCAGAGAAGATATAGGAAGTCACTATAATAAGAGATGACAGTGGGCTGAACCAGGACAACGACAGTGAAGCTGGTGAGAAGTGGTTAAATTCTGGATGTATTTGAAGTAGATCTGCTGACAAACTGGATTGTAGGTATGAGAGAAAGGAGTCAAGTAATAGAAAGGATGACTGCTATTAACTGAGGTAAGGGAAACTTTGTAGGATGAACCATACTGAAGAATATAGGATCTCTATTTTGGACATGATAACTTTGAGACATCTATGAAATATCCAAGAGGAGATTTCAAGTAAGCAGTAGAATACATAATATGTCTGGAATTCAGGGCCAAGGTCTAGGCTAGAGATATAAATTTGAGAGCTGTCAGGATATAGATGGTATCTAAATCCCCAAAACTAGGTAAGATCACTTATCAAATTTGGAGAGATTTGTTTTAAAATTGTCAAATGTTGCCAAAAGTACAAGGACCCATTTATGATGGGTGATTTGTAAATATATAATAATAACATTAAGAATGGGTCTTTCTTTTGACCATATAATTCTACTTCCAGAAATTTATCTTAAAATATATATATGTATGTGTATATATATATATATATATGCAAAAAGACTAAAACCATCCATATTTTTATTTATAATAGAAAAAAATCTGAAAGTAATACAAAATCCCAATTATATATATGCTAAAATAGTAACTTCATTTCTTTCATTTGTGAGATCATAGGTGATTTTTAGATTTATCCTCTTGTGCTTTTCTATTTTTCAAACTTTCTATAATGAACAAATAGAACTTTGTAACCCTCCAAATAATTTTTGTTGTTTTTAATAGAGGAGGTCACTGGGCCTTGGAAACAGTATCAGCTACTATCATCTTCATTTGAAACTAAAATCAAACATTATTCTGAAATAAGAGAAAGTAACAAAATACAACATCTAGACAATTTTACATTGTATATAACATATGTTTTTCCTTGAACAAAATTCAGAGAATGTGTTACAAATACATAGTTTTGAATTATTAATAGGACATGATAACATATAAACTTTAACTCAATGATTTTTATATGTAATTAAAAACCAGACTTATAATTAATGAAATATCCTAATTCCCTCTCTGAAGGATATCAAGGAAATTAAGAAAATATAAACATAATCAATAAAGCTGCTTCCTCTTCTACAATAAAACATTTAAAGAATTCATTCAAAAGAATAATATACTTAGGAATAAATTTACCAAAAGAAACAAAAGTCCTGTGTACAGAAAACTATAAAACACTGATGAAAGAAATCAAAGATGATACAAATAGATGAAGAACTATATATACCATGTTCTTGGATTGGACAGTCAATATAGTGAATATGAGTATACTACCCAAAGCAATCTGTAGATTCAATTCAATCCCTATCAAACTACCAATGGTAATTTTCACAGAACTAGAACAAATAATTTCACAATTTCTATGGAAACACAAAAGACCCTGAATAGCCAAAGCAATCTTGAGAAAGAACGATATTGGAGGAGTCAACCTTCCTGACTTCAGACTATACTACAAAGCTACAGACATCAAGACAGTATAGTTCTGGCACATAGACAGAAATATAGATCAATGGAACAAAATAGAAAGTCCAGAGATAAATGCATGAATGTATAGATACCTTATTGTTGACAAAGAGGCAAAAATGTACAATGGAGAAAAGATAGTCTCTTTAACAAGTGGTGCTGGGAAAACTGGTCAACTACCTGCAAAAGAATGAGACTAGAACACTTTTTAACACCGTACACAAAAATAAACTCAAAATGGGTTAAAAACCTAAATGTAAGACCAGAGACTATAAAACTCTTAGAGGAAAACATAGACACAACACTCTCTGACATAAATCTCATCTAAAACCACTATAACCCACCTCCCAGAGTAATGGAAATAAAAACAAAGGAACTATAGGCAAGGTGAAAAGACAGCCCTCAGAATGGGAGTAATAATAGCAAACAAAACAACTGACAAAGAATTAATCTCCAAAATATACAAGCAATTCATACAGCTCAATACCAGAAAAATGAACAACCCAATCAAAAAATGGGCAAAAAACCTAAACAGACATTTCTCTAAAGAAGACATATAGATGACTAACAAACACAAGAAAAGATGCTCAACTTCACTCATTATTAGAGAAATGCAAATTAAAACCACAATGAGGTATCATCTCATGCCGGTCAGAATGGAATCATCAAAAAGTCCACAAACAATAAATGCTGGAAAGGGTGTAGAGAAAAGGGAACCCTCTTTCACTGTTGGTGGGAATGTAAACTAGTACAGCCACTATGGAGCACAGTGTGGATATTCCTTTAAAAATTGTGAACAGAACTGCCCTACAACCCAGCAATTCCACTGCTGGGCATATACCCAGAGGAAACAAGAACTGAAAGAGACACATTTCAGTACCCCAGTGTTCACTGCAGCACTGTTTACAATAGCTAGGACATGGAAGCAACCTAGACATCCATTGGTAGATAAATGGGTAAGAAAGTTGTGGTACATATACACAATGGAATATTACCCAGCTACAAAAAGGAACGAATTTAAGTCAGTTCTAATGATGAACCTGGATGAACGAGAGCCTATTATAAAGAATGAAGCAAGTCAGAAAGGAAAGAAATTATACTAACACATCTATATGTTTATTAACACATGTATATGGAATTTAGAAAGATGGTACCAATGATCCTACCTGAATGGCAGCAGAGAAGACACAGATGTAAACAACAGACTTCTGGACTCAGTGGGAGATGGCAAGGGTGGGATGATTTGCGAGAATACCATTGAAACATGCACGTACATTACCATATGTAAAACAGATGACCAGTGCAAGTTCAAGGCATGAAGCAGGGCACCCAAAGCTGGTGTTCTGGGACAACCCAGAGGAATGGGGTGGGAAGAGAGGTGGGAGGGGGATTCTAGATAGGGGGTCACGTGTATACCTGTGGCTGATTCATGTTGATGTATGGCAAAATCCATTACAATACTGTAAAGTAATTATCTTCCAATCAAAATAAATTAATAGGAAAAAAAAGAATTTGTTCAATAAATATTGAATGAGAACTAACTATATGTCAGACCTCCCCTAGGCATCCTCTACATAAAAGATGGGAGTTTGTGAGGAAAGATTTATCCTAATTGAGGACACTTTGGGAGGAAGGAGCATTTAAACTCAACTTTAAAGAAAAGGTAGGATTTATATACTTGAGAAAAAAAATTCCAAACTGTAACAATAGTAAAACTATAGGGATAGAAGAAAACATGAACAAACTGCAGGAAATAAGCAGTATTCATATTTGGCTAGAGCTCAGGATCTCTAGAAGGCTCCATTATCTAGTCTCCCTTGTAACTAGAGGGAGCCATATATTAATACTTAAATAAGGCGCTTGCCTGGAAAATCCCATGGGAGAAGCCTGGGCAGCTACAGTCCATAGGGTCACAAAGAGTCGGACACAACTGAGCGACCATACTTAAGGAGAAGAATCAGGTGGTATGGAACTTTCAGGAAGTCTCCATAAAGAGGAGGAAATGGGGGAAAAGGGAGAGATAATCTTTTGTTTCCCTCCATTCTGTTGTTTGAATCTTGGATATATAATGGATGGAGCCCCATCACCCATTTGAATGGCAGGGTAGAGAGCTAAAAAGTAGCTCAGTTCTCTGATGCCACTCTGGTTTTGAACTGCCAAATCTCGCCTTTTTTCCTGTAAACAGATTTTTTTCTGTCTTCTATTTACTGTCCTCCAAAAACAGTATTAAGGAACTGAAAATGATGTCATCCTCTTTAGTCAGGTCTCATCAGGTTACATGTATCTATGAATGGAAACTCAAATATCCCTTTTCTCAGGAAGTATAAAAGCTTCTACATCTTTTCTCTGGTATATAAAAATTCAATTGTCCCTCAGATTTGATTAAGTTGGAAAATTCTTTCTGGTTATGAAGCAGCCAAAAAATATACTTTCTGGTTTCAAATGGACCAAGGCTGAGGCTATATCCTATCATAACCATGACACCTAGAAATAATCTTATGCATTAAAGTTAATGTAATTTTGGAGATTCACCTAAACTGCTAAAATTGGAGAATAAATAAATTCTCTTAGGTTGAGACAAAGAGAGTTATTCAGCTTCATAAATCTTATTCAGTACTACTAAAAACAATTTTTACATGTATCTGTGTACACAACTGTAAACATTTAAATATATAAGTATTGTCCATATATAAGTATATAAAGATACAAAGATATAGTTTTAGAATTACTTCTTATAATGATATTCTAAAACTCTGAGAAACATAAAAGATAAATGATACAACAGCATACTTCTAAACATGTTGTTACTTCAAGCTACTTCTACAAAGGACTAAGTTGTCATTATACAACATGATATACATACACACAAACACATAATACCTTTAATTTTGTATTCTCAAGATTCAGATTTTCATTTTCATATTCAATTGAGTGAAGTTTTCTAAGAATTTCTTCACATGAAATTTTTCCATGCTCTTCCATTTTCTTCAGATCTTCCAAAAGATTAATGATTTGCCTTTATAAAAGCCATAGAAATTTTAATTCAAACAATATATATCTTAAGTGTGCTTCTGAAGTTATTCTTTGTACAGTTTCAAAAGTTACTCACACTCAGAACAAAGGAAATAGGAAACCATAATCTATAAGGTTACTTCTACCTGAATAACTGATTAGAAATAATTATCCATGGATGACATTAATGAAAAAGTACACAATATTCTCTTCACTAGTCAGTAAAACATCTAAACTATGATCCACAGGTAGGCCTGTCTTTCTGTCATTCATACATGCATAGACACATACACACAATTTTGGGAAAGAGATACATAAAAGGATCAAGTAAGATAATAAGTAATCTGTAGAAGCAAATAATATACACTACTTTTCAGTTAAAAAGTTGAAGAAAATATACAGAAAGTGAAACATTCAAAAGCAAATGTATAGTTCTTTATTGTTAACTTATTAATAACAAATAACAAAATATAAAACATACATATTTTTACTCAGATTTTCTTTGTTATGCATTTAAGACACCTTAAGGATCAATAATTTGTGAATAAAATGAATCTTAATGGGTAATAATTTTTAACTGCATTTTTAAAGTAGAGTAAGAAAAGTTTATAAATTATAAATGGCAAACACAGCAAATCAGACAATAGCTTTACACATGTAATTCATAGGAACCATATATAAACTACTGAAAGAGGAAAGAACTAAAAACATTTCTTTTTTTTAAACATTTCTTATAAAATAGTAAAAGGACTCTTTTTTTTCTTACTTTTTCATTGTTTCGATCTGAACTTCCAACTCCGTTTTCTCTATTACAATTTTCTCATAATGACTTTTCCAGGCATTGGAAGCTGAAACTGTTTCAGACAACTTGGCTTCCTAAAAAACACATAAAGTACTCATCTTGTAATTTAATAACACTAGTTTTGTTCTAAAAACAAATACATTATTAACAAGGAAACACTCGCCCTATAAGTTATGGAACTTTTGTTACAGAAAATTTCAGTGTACAGATCTGAACACAGGAAAACATTAAAGTAAAATTTAATAATGACTTTATAATACTATTAATTTATATGCATATAATAACAGTTCCAACTTAACATTTTAAGGATGTTAGTGGTGCTATTTTCAAAAAATATTTCATAATTACTGAAAATAACTCCCTTTATATTTATTGAACTCTTGTCTTTCTCTGACTTATTTCACTTAGCATAATACCCTTCAAGTCCATCCATGTTGTTGCAAATGGCAAAAGTTCATTTTTTATAGCTGAGTAATATTCCTGTGTGTGTATACACTACATCTTCTCTATCCAGTCATCTGTTAATGGATACTTAGGTTGCTTTCATATCTTGGTTATCATAAATAATGTTGCTATGAACTTTAGGCTGCATATCTTTTTTAATTAGCTTTTTGGGCTTTTTTGGATAAATACACATGAATGAAATTGCTGGGTCATATGATAGTTGTATGCCAAGCTATTCTGTATAGATCACCCTATTGACTCTCAACAAATAACTGTCAAATGAATCTACTCTTTACAAATCCACCTAAAGAGCTATAGCCATTATGCCCCCTCTCTAAAGAAAAACAAATTCACTAGAATGACAACGGTGCCAATAATTACTAACGAGAAGACTTAGAAGTAGTGATATGAGCAGTTTACATTTATTGGGTGCTTCCTTCTTTCCTATCACTGAACAAGTGTTTATTCAACATCTACTGTGTGCGAGACAATTTTTTTTTTACATTTTTAACAGTAATATTTTTAATGTATTTAAAAAAGACTAGTATTCTGTTTTTATATTACATGTAAATGAATATTAATATGCATTATGAAGGATATGTTGGGCAATTATATTAGAATATAAATTAAGATATTTAGAAATTTTGCCTATAAAATAAGGCTAAGAAAAAAATTTAAGACATTGATGTGATTAACTGTTGTGGGGCTATTTCAAAAGGAGTAGTCAAGGAAGGCCCCTGTGAAGAGATATCAAGTAAAAAGATACCAGAATGATTTTTAAAAGAATCAGCTATTATAGAACCTGAGAAGAACATTACAGCCAGAGGCAACAGCATAGAACAGTGAAACAAACACACTACCCACATCAGGGGAATAGAAAGGAGCTTAACGTGGCAAAAATGCAGTCTGACAGACACTGCGCTTTGACATATATTTTCTCATTTATTCCTATATGAGACAGGCAGTATTATTATCCCCTATTTTATAGATAAAGAACCTAAAGCTTAGAGAGGTTAAGTACCTTACCCAAAGTCACCAGGTTAACAAGTGGCAAAGTCTTCCTATACTATGATCTGGGGCATGAGTGACATGGTGCTAGTTAAAAGAAAATCCCAAGAATGTTAATGACTCAATTAGTTTTTAACACACAGGAATATTTTCAGGCATTCAACTAGGACTTCAGCCTTACAGATTTTGCACTTAGTCCTCAAGTCTTTTATCTAATTAAATTCTTCTGAATGTAGGTTAAATATTAAGAGTTTTTAAGTGTTCATAGTTGAGCTTATAAAATATTAGGTTGTTTTGTTTATATAAGCTTTTATGCAAGTCTGTTTTCATTTCATTCATATCTAAGTTCTTAAGAGGTGGGATACCAATGATACTTAAAAAGAGTAAATATTTTATTACCTGGTAATTGAATAGACACAATTCATCAAAAACAAAGCACTAAGTCAATTTTCAACTTTGTTAATAAACCCAAAGATAACTTTCACATGGTGGGTTTACATCAGCACGTGTATTTAAGTGCATTATGGAGTTTAAGTGAAGTGAATTATTGAATAAAGTCATATGGTCTAATAACACAAATCAGCATTTCCCAAACTGGTATTCCTCAGAATGAGTTCTAAAAGTTACTTTGTGAATAGAAGAATTCTGCAGCTAACTAAGTGGTAGAAAACTCTGAATTCAATACCCTCCTTGACGCTGAAGGCCTTCTCAGAGCCTTTGTTAATGTACTTTAATTTAAAGTTAATATGCAATGTAAATTTCCAAGGGTGAATATGTATGAAGTGGTACAACCCTTAGTTAATCATAGATGCTTTGGGACTTACATATCCTTTAAATAAAGTCCCAAGGAAACGCTGATGTAATTCAACAGGCAAATTTGTCACTTTATGTAATATTTCAAAATAAAGACTAAAGCAAAATTAGTATGAGTAAAGTTTCTCTAACAAGATAATTATACTAAGCATTATGAAGTTAAGTACATAAACTAAGTACAGAAAACAATTCTTTAAGGAAGAATGTATATAACTCACCTGTTCTCTAATTTGGGAAGTAAGGTTTTCCATGTCTCCAGTAAAATGTTCAATCCTTTGTTTGTAAATTTTGGATGCCTTTTTCAGAGCAATAGTTTTTTGCCTACTTGATTCTTTCATTGCTACAGCCACATACTTACTCTTTTTCAACTGCAAATTCCATTCTGATATTTGGGTTTCTAAGCTCTAAAAAATACCAGCAGTAGTTAAGTTATTTTAGAATGCCAATGTTGACATAAACATTGTTAAAATATGTAAGTAATCTTCCACATAGAATTTATCAAAAGGACTAATAAGTTTAGTAAAAAGCAAAACAGTGAAGAAAGGTGATTTCACCAATGTTTATTTGTAACCAGTTATACTATGCAAATTTAAAATGTATAAACCTATATAAAACTAATACTACTCTTACTAAAGATGCTAATACTGGTGATTATGGCAGAAACACTAATTCCCTTAAAATCTTTTTGATTAACTAGAATTTTTTTTAAATTTCACATCTAGAATATTATATATAGCACTTACTAGTTACTGCAAATAAAAAAAAACGTAATTAAGCCAGAGACAATTCAAACAGTAGGTACGTAAAGCTCAAAGGAATCAATAGCTCCCCAAATATATTAGGACTCCAGTTCAAATTATAAATGCTTAAAGGCTATATAATCAAAATCTATAGATCATGAAGAGTATGGATGAGATAAACAAAAACTTATTTGCTATATTTTAATTTACTAGAATTAAGGGGGAAGTCTTGATATTTGAAAGAGTTACATCAAGACAATAAAAGTGCTACTTTGCCCAGTAAGTAGTAAGCTATTTGTTGAAGCTATTATTCTAAGACCACACAGAGTTTGAGAAACGCCTACTAGATCAGTAAGAGTGATTAAGGGTAAAAAGATGTTTGGTTATCTTTTTACCCAAAGGTAAGGCATGTTTTCATCCACTGAGTCTGATAATGTTAATTGACATAACTTTCCTTACATATCTCTTGGGGATATAACTTAACACAGAATATTAGGTTGGGTCGATGATGAATATGATTTAGTGTGATAACTCATGTTTTCATTTCAAATTATCTTAAAACTTTGTATTTTAAAGCATCTGAGTACTAATTAAGAACTTAAAGACTTAAGGTTTTAACGTTTCTACGTTTCTTAAAAGTTGTGTGTTTCTGAAAAGAATGCAAAATTATTAAAGAATTTAAGTTTTAGTCTTTCATTTCCTGGACAATCATTTAAAAAAAAAAAAATCAAAGGAGTTACAGTAAAAGATGGAGCTTTTCTACCTTATGATCAACAAAAAAACTACTTAAGTTTCAGTAAAACTGAGTTTAAAAGATACATCTTAAATAAGATCTAAAGACTTGATCTCTTTGAAAAGTAACTTCACAAACTAAGAGAAGAAGCAAAACATTCTTAAAGTGTCTTTAAAAATCTCTATAAACTAAAAATCCCCATTTTAATAAGTAGCTGGGAAAAACAAACTGCAATATAGTTAAGTCGGCTGAGAGAAAGGAAGAACCCTCCCCAACCCAAGAAAAACAGCTGTACTTTCTCTAAGAAACCACAGGGTGTCATCATCACATCATGAATGACAGGCACACTTAACAGGGTGAAACAGATTTTTTTGAACATGGATCCACAGACTTTCTTACTAGATTATCAAATCCCATGCTCAACCACTATTAGGAAGTGTGCTGAAACTATCAAATTATTTTTATAGTTTCAAAATAATCCTTTCACCGTCATTTGCCAAATGAATGGATATATATTTTAAGCCAAGTATTTGCCTTTTCCTCTTCCCAAAGAATTATACTTGCAGTATATTATAAAGATAATTATTCTGTCTCTTCTAAAATGTGAAAATCTTCTAACTCGAATTGACATATTTTAAAGATCTAGAAAGAAAAATGAGTTCAAAGTATCTTTAAGGTAGTTCTCAAAGAATTATAATGTAACTAAAAAATTTAAAAGACCTAATATAATTGTTGAGTCATCAACAGTACTAAAAAAAAATGAGATTTATGTTGGCAAACTGAGTTAGTTAGTTCACTGTGCACGCATTTGTTAAAAAAAAAAAACAACAAAACTTGTCAACCCTAAATAAATTCCAAAACTGTGTTAGAAGGAATGTAAAAAAAATCCATGAGCTAATTCAACTTCTAATTATTTCTAAATAATAGAATTTTATAAGAGACGGTCAACTCAAAGTATTAGACAGGTGAATGTGATGGCAAAATCTTAGGATTTTATAGCCTTATATTTGCTCTCCTAAATATCATGAATATAAAAAGGAACTGTCAAATTTAACTTAAAAAATTTTTTACTATTTCATTTTTAAACTGAAGAAAATATTTTCAAGAACTCCCCAACTGCTATTTAAGGACATAATTTAAAAAAAAAAAAAGATAAATTGTAGTAGACAATCTGGGATGTTAAATTACATGTATTCTCTTGTATTTACCATGACAGAGCAGTACATTTCAACTCTAGTTCATCTCCAGTGTCCTAAGACATGGACGCAAAGAACACAGGGAATCTCTGGGGGAAAGTGCTAAAAAGCACCTAAAGGCAGACAAAAGACAAAATTTATATCTCACATAAGTCTGCTTAATGTCTCTTTCATGGGCAAAAGCTTTTTGCCACTGAATGAAAAAAGAAAAAACAACCCTCAATATGCAGTCGTGAAAAACATGTGCCTGGGCTACAGGCGTCTGCCATGGTTCAGGTAGATAAAAGCAAACAGAAATCCCACACAGAAGTCCTCACACTCAATAGGGTTTGTCTTTGTACACTTCTCTTTCAAAAGTGGCAGCACTGCTTCTTTTCCTTTGGCAAAAATGACAGTAGATCCAGTTAGCTTGTGTCATACCAAAGCAACCTCAAACTCTCACCTCAAAGAGTGACTGTGAGGCTTCCACAAGAATATTTAAACTATGCAGTTTAAACCAGAGAATTCCTCCTAATTACCCTGCTAAAAAGCTGTATAACAGGTTACTTGATTATCTAAACACCAATGCTAGGTTACCTAATCTTAATGTTATTATCATTAGTAACAAAAACAATATAATAAACATTATTGTCTCATTAAATAAGTACAAGAGTATTCAAGTACATTATAGGTGCATAAAAGGGATGACTGTATACCAAATATTAATAACTTCAGTATTTTTAAGTTATTTTAATTTTCTCTTATATTTAATAGCTTTTCCAAATAAATATAATTTAACTAATAATAGGAGAGATTTTTTTTAAGTAATTCAATCTTTACAAATCCTTCCTAGATCGGTACTAAACAGAGACAGCATTTTCACATTAGGATCTGGAGCCAAATCTTTAAAAAGACCAGAAATGTTAAGATTTGCCCCAAATATGGACTTCCCATGGCAACACTTAAATTCTTTCAAATCCACTAAATTCCAGAATTAATACTATATTGTCATTCATTACTTTTAGCACTTAAAACTATAAAAATGGATGAGTATTTATAACCTTTATGTGTTCTTTTAATTTATCATTCTCTGCTTCCTTTTTATGAATTTGGGACTGTAGTCGTTCATGTACTACTTTCACTGATTGTGAAAAACGGCTTGCTTTCAAAGCATTTGCCTGTAAGAGAAAACAAAACAAAAATGTGTTATTTAATGTATTTCCCTACAATATTAAATTTCACAGTACTTGGATATGATCTAAAAATTTGCTAAAGAGCAAAGTACAACACTCCCATTACGAATGGATTTTATATAAAATCAAGGGGATGTTTCCTACTCCCCTTTTCAATTTAATAACTCCTAATTATCTCTTGTTACAAGTTCCTATCTATCCTCCTAAGTAAAATCATGAATATGTCTAAAATGATCCTACAAACACAGAAATACCTTAATTTATACTAAAACTGAAATATATATTTATACATAGGTCCCTGACTTATGCCAAGTACCCTGAATGAAACATCATAAAAATCTAAAAAGAAAAAACAACTTTAAAAAATTAAGATGCTATATTTGATACATAAAACTGGGGAAAAAGTCCAAATAACCTAAAAAACTTTGTGTCTATTTATGAGGATAAATAGGAGGCCAGCATGGAAAGAAGAGAAAGAAGGAGTCAATATTAAGAAAATATGATGAATTAAGCTCAAAATTTGCTTACCTTTTCATTCTGAAACAAAGAAGAAAGTTCTTGGATGTAGGTCTCCTTTTCAAGTACCTTGTTCTTAAGATTCTTCAATAAATACAATGTAAAAGTTAGAATATCACAACTTGGGTAATGTTGGCTAATTTTATAAAACTGACCAGCATATAAACAAAAAAATTCAAAAAACTAGACTCCCAAGTATAAAAGACTTACAATGTTTTCACTTTCATTATCAGTTAGTTTCTCTAACAAGCTGGATAAACTCTCCCCTCTCTGTGGAAAAAAGAAGTTATAAATCAGTGTTCACAAGCTATATTTCTCTACACAACAGCAGAAAGTGGATTAAGCATCACTTAAGAAACTAATGTGGTGCAGCATATAGTGGTGACCATAGCTGCCTTCCAAAGAAATTAATATGGACAACTATGCACAGTTCAGCTTTTTTAAGTTAAAAACCAGAAAGATTTTTGCTTAAGTGTTCCAAATCAATTTTTGTCCACAATTTATAAAATTAATTTCTAAATAATGCCTCATAAAGTACGAGCCAATGACATAAAAATCATAAGAACCTTGTATATAAAGGAGGCCCACAATGCTGTTTGTAAACAGGTAAAAATTATAAGCAATCTAAAGTCTAGCAAAAAGAAATGTTTCAAAGAATTACAGCAAATTAATAAAAGAATTCCACGTAGATATTTTAAATGAGAATGCAGAAAATGTTTTTTCACTTTGAGGGTCACACATACCATATGATTCTATTTATATAAAATATCAGGGCTTCCCTGATAGCTCAGTTGGTAAAGAATCCACCTGCAATGCAGGAGACCCTGGTTTGATTCCTGGGTCAGCAAGATCCACTGGTGAAGGGATAGGCTACCCACTCCAGTATTCGTGGGCTTCCCCTGTGGCTCAGGTGGTAAAGAATCTGCCTGCAGTGTGGGAACGGTTTGATGCCTGGGTTGGGAAGACCCCTGGAGAAGGGAAAAGCTACCCACTCCAGTATTCTGGCCTGGAGAATTCCATGGACTATATAGTCCATGGGGGTGCAAAGAGTGGGACACAACAGAGCTTCTTTTACTCACTTGATAAAAAATATGTGACATTAGCAAATCCATAGATACAGAAAAAGCAGATAATGGATAAAGGAGGAGTAGATGGGGATGAGAAGCAAAAATCTAAAGGGCTAAGGGTTTCTATCTGTAGTTACAAAAATGCTCCAAGGCTGATGGTGAGGACTACACAATTCTGTGAATATACCGAAAATCACTGAATTGCACGCTTTGAACCAGTGAACTGTATGGTATGTGAATTAGATCTCAATAAAACCATTAAGAAAGGAATATATGAATGCATTATTAAAATGAATACAAGAGCTTAAATTCCAAGAGTTTTTATAGTAGTCAACTGAAATCAAGTAAAACAAATAATCAAAGTTCTTGAGATTGAAAAGAAAAATGTATTTTCTATAAAATATGCTGCTTTCATGTAACACTACTCATGAAACACTGAAAGTGAGGGTTAATGATTGCCATTTCAAACAAAAATTCAAGAATCATTTCCATTTCAAATATACCAATATTTTAATTTCTACAGTTCAAGAACCTATATACCCTTCAAGTTAGAAATATCACTATTGAAACAGTGCTTAGTATTTCTTACTTGTTGGTATTCTGTCTTTCTAAGAAGATGGTCTAAAGTTTGTTTTACACGTTTAAGTGTCTAATTCTATTGTTAATATTTCCGTCTGTTTAGAAATCTTCAAATTGGATGCAGAAAGTTTAGCCTGACAAAATGTAAGAGCCACAAACACATTTTAAGATATTGCACTAAGACGCTCTAAAATGTAATGCTACTATTAGCAAAAAATACTTTTTCCCAGTAAAAACAATCATTCTTCTGCACTTGTTGTTATTGTTGTCACTAAGTCATATCCAACTCTTTGTGACCCCATGGACTGGAGCCCACCAGGCTCCTTTGTCCATGGGATTTCCCAGGCAAGAATCCTGGAGTGGGTTGCCATTTCCTACTCCAGGGGATCTTCCTGACCCAGGGATCGAACACGGGTCTCCTGTATTGGCAGGTGGGTTCTTTACCACTGAGCCTCCAGGGAGGCCCTCTTTTGCACATAGTAGTAGTAAAGTCTGCCAAATTCATAGCAGTGAATAGTATTTGTTATGTGGTACACTAAAGTAAAATGAAATCAAAATAAGGGCTTAAACCCTAAAATATTTCAGGAATTTATTATAATAAAACTAATATTATACAATCTATTTTTTTGCCTTTAAACTTTAGTACACTGTAATTTTAGAATAGAGGTTTTTATTCCACATAGTACTATAGAAAATAGATTTCATCTCTCAGAATATTTTAAATTCACTCTTGAGAGAAGTTGGCTCTAGTTCAACTCCAGGTAAGTCAAGCACTGAGGTACAGTTTCTAGCTTAGCCTCTCATCAAGTGCATTCCTGAGATTATCTTTGACGAAAAGAATTGCAATTAATGACATAGGAAAAAAGAACACTGATAAACTTGCATTTTTTATATCAAATACCAGTGTGTGAGCATAATTACTGTAAGATGAGACCTCAGTTAAGGCATTCTGAGTATTATTCTAGCTCCTCATTTTATCAGATGTTCACTAGTCAAATACTCACATTTTCAAAACTAATCTCTTCAATGGTGTCCTTCAATAATGGCAGAAGTAATTCTGCAGAACAAGTTGCTAACTCGGCTTCCTTAAACAATGCTTCCAATTCGGTCTTCTCATTTTGGATGTCCTGCTTTAGGCTAGTTAGATATGCACAAAGAAAATTTAAGTTAAAACTGTTACATAAATTTGTTATACTTTTTGTGCAAACTAAGCATAGCCTGATTAAGTATTACAGTTCCATAAATTGCTTTGCAAAATTTAACACTAAACTGTCACTGAAAATGTATGAATTTTTCTATACTTCCATATTTTTCCTACACATAACTATAAGTGGTAAGACAGTTTCTAAAATGTTAAGATGTATAAAATATGAAGACTACCAACAGCAATGTATCACTGTGCTATTTGATAATTATTCAACATCTCTTCTTCAGTTTGTAAAATGATTTATGTGAATGTGTCTTTTTTTTCTTCCCTTCCTTCTCCCTAGTCTGAAAACAAAAGATCTAACTTTCTAGCCCTTATTTCCAATCCTTTCTTGAAATCTATGGTTCTTCACAAAAAAATTCCTCCAGAAGAATGTGTAAGCTAAACTTATTTGTCACACAAAAAACTAAACTGCTCCAGACACCTAAAAATTCTTCACATTTGGTTTTATAAAACATTATCATTTAAAATGAAACTGATAATATTTGCTTTCTTGGTTATGTTTTATCTACACTACTGTGCATCACTATAAGATACATTTCTTGGGGGGGACAAGAAGTTCATACTTTTACATCCCGAAATAGGGATGCTTCTTACTAATCTTTGTCAGGAAGCCATCTTGAGCTGTATCTCCTGTACATGTCCAAAACTTAATAGAATGAGCATCAGATAGTAGGAAGACTATCCCAGAGATGGGATATAGCACATTTTTAATCTCTAGCAAAGAAGGGTCACACAGAGGGCTTGAAGAAGTTGTTGAAGTAAGAATGTTTAGCAACATTCTAGAAGGAAGATTCCAAGGTAGGCTTGCTGTATACTGTAAGTAAGAGCCCATCACCAATAATTTTCATTTCAGATATAGATGTGCCTAAGAAATACCATTTCACTAATACTCCTAATAGCAGAGAGAACTCTGAGTTAAAAAGTGACACAAAGAAGTTGGATTTTGAGTATAAAGAAGCTTTGAGAAAACCTTCACTAATTTATTTCATTTAATGTTTATATGAGCAGAGTCATTTGGACAAAAATCTATGTATAAGTTTGAAGGGGCTTTTACAGTATTTACAAATAAAATTCCAAGCATTCCAAGAAAGCACTGTGTCTTTCTTTAATTGACACCACTTTTCTTCTATGGAACATAATATAATGGCGCAACAACAATGGAAGACATCTTAGAGGCTATGTCTCTAAGAAATACATTGTATTCTTAAGCACCACTGGCTTAAAATGATGGGCCTAAGGAATGCTGGCTACAAAAGACAATTATCATTATTAGAAACCATATACAGAAAGTCAAAAATAATTACATATGGCCAAACATTATTTTCATTTATAACTAGAAGCTGCACTATACCATCCATAGCAACAACCATGGTATTTTAAGATTGTCACTTTGGGGAGCAATGAGTCATACAAAAAACAAATGCATCCCCATACCAAAGAAGCAAAGTATGACAGGTATCTGTTACATAGCAATATACCAAATGACAGTGAATTAGTACTCATGAACTATATTTCCACTATTACATGGTATTTATACTTTCATTTACCTTAGGTAAAAAGGTATACACTTTATAAATTTTTATAGGTAATGTTTTCAATTTTAATTGCTGTCATTAAAATTTCAAAATAGGCATATTCTGCTACATGAGTACTTTGTAATCAAATTAAATAAATATCAATTACTAGATTGTTAGATGATATCCTTGAAAGAATGCTATATTTGATTCAAATAGTTTACAATATGGACAAAATATGAAACCCTGAAATCAAGAAAATTAAGTTATCCCCTGTTATTGTTGCGAATACCAGCTGAGATGACTTTCACTGGCATCCTGTGGTAAATGTTCTTTTTCTGATCTACTTTCAAAATGGGAAGAGAGTTCTTCTGAATGACTTCCATCACTTGCAGTCTCCTCCATAAATTAAATGGATTTTTAAGTGGCTTCCACAGCAAGTTCTCCACATAAGCTGAAACCTAGGAAATATTTTCATTATTAAACATTTCAGTAGATTATTTTTTCCTGTTATCACCATATAAGATAAAAATCCTAAAGATGCATAAAAGAAAAATATTTCACAGACAAAACTCAAATTGTAGCTGCTACTCGTTGTGATACTAATTTAAAATAGTATCAAAATTGCATAGCACAATCATTCAACAATTTCCAACTGCCAGCTTCCAAAAAGTCACTATTTTCTACATGCTCACAAGAATGTAGAAATTACTATTAGTCTATTTCTTGAAGTATTAAAATATCTTGATCCAAACAGATTAGAAAATGGACATAAAAGTCATAGAATAACTATCAATTTTAGTTTCATTAGAAACTAATGAAATTTCATTTCATTTCTTCAACAAGAAATGAATGTTATTCATGCCTATAACAGTAAAAATTTAAGATACTTTTGAAAGTATTTGGCAACAGTAGCTGCAAAGATAAAGGTTTTTTTAAAAGTAGACTTTTCAACATTAAATTCACTTATTTCTACAAATAAATCCTATTCTTTAAAAAAAGTTCAATCTAGGATATTCTTTGGTGACACTGAATGGACAGATGATATTACATCTAAGTCTTAGTAAATAATCTAATTGTTTTCTCTCAGATTTGGAGATGTCATTTTAAAATGTGAATTATTTATGACATTTATGAATTTCTTCAAAGCTATTCCATTTTAAGTAATGAATTAGTGCTTGGGCAATCATTAAGACTGTATTTTCACAATTCTAATATATGGAAATGTGTCTCCCTGATTCTGTTTCTATAAAATCAAACATCATACTTAAGGTCTTCTGCATTGCTGCAGAGATACTTTACCTCCTTGTAATTTATTTTTAATTTTCTGTATCATAAAATACATATGTTCAAGAATTTTTAGATCTTTAGACAGATGTGAAATTAAAGGTTGAAAAGTATTCACAATATTTAATTAGCAATTCAGAAATCACTTAAAATGTCTATAAAAAATGTATCTCTTTTTTATCTGAAGGTTCTCTATATCAGAGAAATATTTAGGATATAGGCCAATGAAAGCATGCTCATATTTTTTAAACACTAGCAACTCATGTCAAAATGGAAATGCAGAATAAGATACATATAGTCTAAGATGATCTATGTGACTGCTACAAATATGCAACATCTATTATTAGAGCATAATATTTTGAGCTACTGGTAGCAGAAAAATTTTTTAAGTATTAACATACAGGCATTCCCTGGTGGCTCAGATGGTCAAGAGTCTGCCCACAATGTGGGTAACCAGAGTTGGATCCCTGGGTTGGAAAGATCCTCTGAAGAAGAAAATGGCAACCCCACTCCAGTATTCTTGCCTGGAGAATCCCACGGACGGAGGAGCCTTGTGGGCCTCAGTCCACAGAGTCGCAAAGAGTCAGACATGACTTAGAGACTTCACTTTCACTTTCTTTCATGAATATACAAAATCAAATGAAAAACCAAACCTAAAGATGAAAACGAATATGCTTGGATAAGTCACTGCAATCGAGGAAATTATCATCTACTCACTTGCTCAGTTTTGGTACTTATCTTTTGTCCATTAACTTGTTTAAATATCTGTCTCTCTGTACAATGGAATCTCAAGAAAAATTTCTTCTTTACTAGAATCCTCAGCACCTATAAGCCTTGTAAAAGCTAAGCAATAACTGAAGGAGAGGGCTCAAGGCTTGGTGTAATTTACAAATATGATGAATCAAGACTGATGCTTTTTATAACTATTCACCCCTTGATTCATCTTTTAGGGGATCACTAAAAGAAAAATAGCTCATATATTTAAAACAAAAGCTTACAAATCATTATAACAGGATAAGGATCCTCAATGTATTGAAAACATTTTATGAGGTTAAGACTCAGTTTGAGAACTCCTTGTGTCCAGTGGCTGATTCCACACTTTCAATGCAGGGGGCCTGGCTTCAATCTCTGGTCAGGGAACCAGATCCCAAATGCCTCAATTAAAGATCTTGCATGCAGCGACAAAGACCCTGCATGTAGCAACTAAGACCCAATGCATGCAAATAAATAAAGAAAAAGAAATATTTTTTAAAAAAGATTCAGCTTGGTATTAGTACTTTAAATAAGTTCTTGCTTGGCTTTGTGGGAAACGAATATAGGATTATTCACTTATAATATATAGGAATACAGGAACTTCTCAAAATATTGTTGAGAGGTTCCAAGGTACTCCATTATTTTTGTGTTGTGATGATACTATAAGCAGAAACATATGTATGCTGAAAAATATAATAATTTTCTTTAACATAAAAGTCTTGCCTTTATATAAAAAAAAAGCTATATCTTGGTGCATCAAATGTATTCTTGCATGGAAAAAAAGCAGATATTTCACAAGGAAATGTTATCAATTGTGTAGAATAAACTGCCAATTTACAAATGTATTAAACTTTTGTCCAATTTGCTCGTGGTGAAACAAAGACACATATTCTGGCACACACACTTTTAATGATCAAATCCCTAAAGAATAGCAATTTTAAAATATTTTTAATGTTTAAAGAATTAAATTTCCTATATAGAAATGACTTTCAGTCTTCTACCCAAAAGGCATATATTTAAAGCCTTTTCCAGGAGTGGTCGTGGGTTTCTGGCAACACAGCTACATTCACTAAACAATGTTCCATTTTGACCAACAACAAGAATTTCAAAGATGGCTGTTCAGGGACCATGATGCTGCCATGATCACAGAAAGGAAAGATCACAGTCCATGACCTTCCATAGAACCTACATTGTTCTATACAAACTAATCAGCTTCAAATATGCATTCAAAACTAATCTCTCTGAAGAGAAAAGCATATGAATCTTGCATATTTCATTTTGTTTTGCCAAATACTAACCCTTGGAAAACTAGTTCCCATTAGTGTCAAACAAAAGCATGCAGCTTATACTGAAAAATTCACTATGAAATATTCAGCAAAGAACACCAGCTAGATACAGAAATGCTACTCATTTCCCTCACTAAACACTAGTCAAAAGTTTACTAGAGAAGTAATTGTATAGCTTTTTGGACTCCATAGCAAAAAAAAAAAAAAAGGTATTTGGAATTAGACAGAGTAAAAATAGCCAGAGATGGAAAACAGATCTTATGAGTGAAAGCTATCAAAACTGCAAAAACGCATTTTTTGATATAGAGATTAACTCTGAAAATTAGATAATGCTTCTGTCCAATGAATATAAAAGGGTTGCAGATTGGATAATAGGATAGTATCGAGAAAAAAGTTGACAGGAAGAGTGTCTGATTTGTAAATAAAGGATACATATATATTTTCAAGGCACAAGTCCTCCCTCCTTCTCAAAATATTCCTCTGACTGATTCAGTCCACTAAGAATCCTAAACATCTAATAATATTTTCAGAATTACATAGTTTAGAATTTAATTGCTCCATAAATGGTAATATTTTTAAATGGCTACTAAATCTGTGAGGGCAATATATTCGTCATACTTTACCCTCAAAAATTACATAATACAGTGAGAGGCATAGGTTAGGTTCCAATATATAAGTGAGGGTGACCAAATAACTTATTATTCAACCTGAAACAGTTAAGAGATCAAGCAAGCCTCATAGAGAACCCAATTACCCAGAAGACTGGACCAAAGTCTTCAGAGTACCATTTCACCCTAAATAGTCAGTATCCTTTTATCAGATAAAAATAAAGCATTTTCTTTCCCTTCAACACATGAACAGCATGAGGACATGCTGCCATTTATCAACAGAGCATTAACTTACCTTATAACATCACCTCACAAAAATCCTACACAGTTTCTATTAATATCCCAAAGCTACACATGAAGAAACCAAGTTTTAGAAAGGTTAAATAACTTGCTCAAGTTTATAAGTAAGGAAGTGGTGGAACTCAGTATTGAATCAAAAGTCAGCAGTTACTAAAACATAAGAATTTACAGAGCTGAAAGTAACATACAAACTTCTCTTTTGTAAGTGTTTTAACAATACTCTTATAAATTCAGTTTAGATTTTAAAAATGAAAACTGTTCTATACAAGGAAATAAAGGATGAGTAAGACTGAGCTCCCTGAAGGCACAGACAAGTCTAACTTGAGAGAAGACTCTGAGCATGCCAAGTCACTTCAGTTGTATCCAACTCTTGGCAAACCTATGGACTGCAGCCCGCCAGGTTCCTCTGTCCATGGGATTCTCCAGGCAAGAATACTGGAGTGGGTTGCCAGGCTCTTCTCCAGGGGATCCTCCTGGCCCAGGGCTCAAACCCATGTGTCATATCTCCCGCATTGACAGTCAGGTTCTTTACCACTAGCATCACCTAGGAAGTCCCAGAAAAGACAGAGAGCAGACAACTAAAATCCAGTGAGCTAAAGGTTATAAGGGACTCACTGGGTACCTCTGAAAGCAACAAGCAGGATCCTGGGAGACTTCCCAGAGGTGAATCCGCAGTAGAGTCCAGCAGAACACATCTGAGGTTGGCAAAAGGGAAAAGAAAAAGGCATTCCAGATAGAGAGTAAAGTACCAGCAAGAACAAGGAATCATGGCAGAACATGATTTGAAAGGGCACTTGGCAAAAGATAAGACTGATTGGACACATGAAAGCAGTAATTCTATGCCAAGTTCAAGAGCTTGAGTGTTTTCCCCAAAAGGTTAAGACAGACCATTAAATAATTTTAAGCAGGAGAATGCCAGATTAGAAGTGCATCTTTTAAAGATAAACCCAGTCGTGTTTTGGAAAATAGACTAGGCATACGGAAGAGAGTAGAAATAGGCCCCAAGACAGATGAAATTTCAACAATGTTTTACAACAAAAATTTTAAAAAAATCAAAAGTTCCTCCTGCTGGTGATTAAAACAAACAAACAAAACCCCACGGAAAACAATGAAGGAATCAGACTACAAGAAAAGCAAGAGACAGTATGGAAATGATCAAGTGTAACCCCTT